TGGCCCCGCCCATGTCCTACTGATTGGTCCATCTTACAGAGTACTGATTGGTCCATTTTACAGAGTGCTGATTGGTCCGTTTCTACAGAGTGCTGATTGGTGCATTTACAAACCTTTAGCTAGGCACAGAGCACTGATTGGTGCGTTTTTACAGAGTGCCGATTGGTGTATTTACAAATCTTTAGCTAGACACAGTGCTGATTGGTGCATTTTTACAGAGTGCTGATTGGTGTGTTTACAAACCTTTAGCTAGACTGAGAGCACTGATTGGTGCACTTTTACAGAGTGCTGATTGGTGCGTTTACAAACCTTTAGCTAGACACAGAGCGCTGATTTTTGGTGCGTTTTAGCAGTGTGCCGATTGGTGTGTTTACAAATGTTTAACTAGACTCAGAGCACTGACTGGTGTGTTTACAAACCTTTAGCTAGACACAGAGAGCTGATTGGTGCATTTTTACAGAGTGCTGATTGGTGCATTTCCAAACCTTTAGCTACAAACAGAGTGCTGATTGGTGCATTTACAAACCTTTAACTAGACACAGAAAGCTGATTGGTGCATTTTTTGCAGAGTGCTGATTGGTGTGTTTATAAACCTTTAGCTAGACACAGAGCGCTGATTGGTGTTTTTACAATCCTTTAGCTAGAAAGAAAAGTTCTCCAAGTCCCCATCTGACCCAGAAGGGCAGCCGGCTTCACCTCTCAACGTGTGGAGTGAAGACTGCCAGTGAAGTCTAGGAATATGGTAGACTAGAGGATAGGATTAGAGATGGTTTGTTAATATGAACACTATCCAGGATGTTAAGGAACATGGTGGATATAATGGACTAAACGTGTTCCTGCAAAATTCATACATCGAAGCCCTTATTTCCCATGGGATGGTATTGGTATAGGTAGCACTTTCAGTAAATAATCAGGTTTAGGTGACAGGATGAGAGTAGAGATCCTATGATAGGATTAGTGCCCTTATTAAAGGAAGAGACCGGGGGTTTCTCTGACTCCTCAATGTGAGAATGCCACAGAATATGGCCATTTACAAACCAGAGAGAGAGCCCTAACTAGATACCAAATCTGCCTGCACCTTGATCTTGGAGCTCCCAGCCTCCAGAACTGGGAGAAATACATATTTGTTATATAAACCATCTTGTCTGTGGTATTTTGTTATAGCTCCCCAAAGTAACTGTAACAATTTAGAAAAGTAATACAGATACAAAGTCATCAGACAATGAAAATGGCTACTGGAAACCATGAGAGTGTGAAAGTGAGAATTTAGACTTGGTTAGTATACTTAAATAATCAGTGCTGTGTTTAATAACACCATACCTGACGCCATACCTGACGTGTGGGGTGTTTTTTTTTTTTTTTTTTTGCTCACACCAACCAATTCTCCAACTCTCCAGACACCAAGTAGGTCTCCAACAACTCAATTCAATTCTGACACTATCTACCTGGAGTTAGCATCCTATCCCTGGAGTTAAGGGCTCAGTCCCTCCCACAAGGCTGCCCCATATCAGATGCTAATCTCAAGTCCCAGGCCTCCTGTACTTCCGACTGACTGGCTAAATATCAAGGTTTCTCATAACCCCTTTCTTGGGTTCAATAATTTGCTGGAACAACTCACAGAACTCAAAAAAGACTGTACTTATTATAACCAGTTTATTGTCAATAATACAATTTAGAAGCAGCCAAATGGAAGAGATGCTTAGGACAAGGTGTGGAGGAAGGGCATGGATCTTCCCATGTCCTCTCTGGGTGCACGGCCTTCCAGCACCTCCATAAGCTTTCTGAACCCTGGTTGTTTAGGGGCTTTTATGAAGTTCTGTTACATAGACATGATGAACTAAATCATTGGCCATTGTTGATTAGCTCCAATTCCAGCCCCTTCTCCCCTCCATGGAGGTTGTAGGGTGAGGTTAAAAGTTCTAACTCTCTAATGGTGCCTTGTTCTTTCTGGCAACCCATGCCCCTGGAGCTATCCAGGGGCCCTCCAACCATGGGTCCTCACATTTGCTTGCAAAAGGTACTTATCATTCCGAAAATTCCAAGGGCTTTAGGAACTGTGTCAGGAACTGGGGACAAAGACCAACTTTTTTTTTTTTTTTTTTAATGATCACAGGACTTTAAAAGTAAAGACGTAGTGTTAGATGCTATGGGGAGGGATGAAGGTGAAGTCTTATTTTCTTCCCTTGAGGTGAATGGGAGTGACGGGTGGGTCTCTGTGTGAGAGACACATGGTCATAGAATGCAATAGCCAAAGGAAATTTGGTAATCATTAAGTCTAATGTATATTCTGTGAGGGGTTCCTAGGCAACTGCAAAACATGAAATTCCATGGTTAAACACGTTTGCTAAAAGTTGCATACCATATGAAGTTTCATACTGCTTAGTAGCCCATTGGAAGGCTTGAAGAGTTTTAGAGTAAAGATTAAACACATTTTTCTCAGCTCACCCTACACTTGTCTCCAGAATCCCTTTTATCATGGCACAAGTATTTTCATTCATTCAACAAATATTTATTGAATATCTGTGCTTGGCACTGTACTATGAAAAGTTGGTATTCTAGAGAAGGCAGTTTGAGAAATGATGATCTTGTCCAACTTCTGGGTTTTTCAGGTGAGCAAATTAAGTCTATGAATAATCATATTTTAGTCAAAGGAGGTAGTTAAAAAGAGAGGCTGAAAGAGGGGGTGCCATTTCCACAGGGAAATCAGTAGGAAAAATGTACTGCAAGATAACGACAATTGGGAAGCGTGATGTGGGCTGGGTGTGATGGCTCATGCCTGTAATCCGAACACTTTGGGAGGCCGAGGCAGGCAGATCACGAGGTCAGGAGATCGAGATCATCCTGTCCAACATGGTGAAACCCTGTCTCTACTAAAAATACAAAAATTAGCTGGGCGTAGTGGCACACACTTGTAATCTCAGCTTCTCGGGAGGCTGAGGCAGGAGAATCGCTTGAACCTGGGAGGCAGAAATTGCAAGTGAGCCAAGATGACGCCACTGCACTCCAGCCTGGCAACAGAGTGAGACTCTGTCTCTAAAAAAAAAAAAAAAAAAAAAAAAAAGAAAGAAAAAAAGTGATATGGAGTTGTAGAAATAGTTTGGGCGGCAGATTCATTTTTTTTCTGAGAGTGGCATATAAAGAAAAAGGACTAGATAAGATGAAACTGCATGCATCTTAGCGGTGAGGAGTGGGTCCACGTGGTAGACAGTCAATTTTAAGTCAGAGAGGGAGGATAGGTGGAAATTACGCAGAGAAATGCACATACACACACGCTCTCTCTCTCAAGCGACCCCCAGAGCTGGCAAGAGGGTGGAGATCAGATTCACCTGGTACTTTTAAAAAATTATTTTAAGATGGAGACTCCCTCTGTCACCCAGGCTGGAGTGCAGTGGCACAATCTCAGCTCACTGCAGCCTCTGCCTCCTGGGTTCAAGCGATTCTCCTGCCTCAGCCTCCTGAGTAGCTGAGACTATAGGTGCGAACCACCACGCCCGGCTAATTTTTGTATTTTTAGTAGAGAAAGTTTCACCAAGTTGTCTAGGCTGGTTTCGAACTCCTGACCTCAAGTGAGCCACCCGCCTTGGCCCCCCAAAATGCTGAGATGATCACCTGATACTTTTTAGCATTGTGCGGGATGTTCTGAGTGATGCAGACATGAGCAATGGAGGTTTCTCCCCATATTCTATGGAAGAGGTGATGCAGCCCCAGCTCCAGGGGTTATTTCAGAGGTCACAAAACCAAAATGTCTGTGGCCCAGTGGAGTGTGACAAAAGATATATAAACCTCTTCCATGCAGAGAGATGCATAGCTCTCCGGTATAGGTAGGGAGAAAGAAGGAAAGATTTCTTAGATAGTGAAGGCAGGTCAATCGAAAAGGCCAGAAATAAAACTCCACCACAGCCGGGCACGGTGGCTCACACCTGTGGTCCCCGCACTTTGGGAGGCCGAGGCGGGCGGATCACCTGAGGCCAGGAATTCGAGATCTGCCTGATTAACGTGGAGAAACCCCGTCTCTACTAAAAATACAAAATTAGCCAGGTATGGTGGTACATGCCTGTAATCCTAGCCACTTGGGAGGCTGAAGCAGGAGAATCACTTGAACCCGGAAGGCGGAGGTTGCAGTGAGCCGAGATGGTGCCATTGCACTCCAACCTGGGCAACAAGAGCCAAACTCCGTCTCAAACAAACAAACAAACAAAACAGACAAACAAAAAAACCTCCACCACGATGAGAAGCAACCTCTGTGAGGAGTTACTGGGGGAAGAGTCCCCGGTGGAACTAGCATTGATGTCTCCATTCATTGTGCAGGTCCCTCTCACACTGCTTTCATTACTTGAACACGATCTGGTGTCATTAAGATATCAATTTTATTTAGGTATATCTGCATTGGCAGTTTAATTATGTCTGGGTAAGGCCCGGTATTTATTCATGGGTGATCTTGGTAGTTGTCAGACACCAGCCTGAAGATAAAGCCGTCCATGCCTGAGGAATGCTAATGCTCCCCAGCCCGCCGTTTGACAAGCTCACATGCCAGTTACTACCAAACTGATTATTTCAATCATTAACAACACATGCATCAGCCTCCTTCACCCGAGATTGCCACATGCATTCATCTTTTCACAAACAATTATCTGACAAGGGTGCCGAGAATTGATGTTCTGGGGGGAATTGCCCAACTTGCCTTAGCCACGGATGCAGCAAGCTGAACACCCCGCTTAGCATCGTCATTTCATTAATCAGATTAGCACAATGCCCGATTGAGTGAGTACCATGTTGCTAAACAGTCTCCAATCAGGGTTCCTTTCTGTTGTCCATGCTGGTGGCTGCACTTTGATTTTTTTTTTCCTGGAGGATTCGACCTTGCAGATCCTCTTAGAAAACCTGGATCTTTGCTTATCCCACCACCCATCCCATTTATAATAATTACTCTTGTTCCAAGGAGCAGGGTGCAAGGAGATGCTCTGGGTTTGTGGAGGCGCCATCTGCTCCTTATTGCTCACCTGAGTCAGAGCCTCCTGACATCACTTCTCCGCAGCAATGAGAGCCAAATATTCACACAAAGAGGCCGGGGCTGTGCCAGACGGCGCAGGGCCTGAAAAGTGATGAATGAAAGAAATGTGAAACAGCAAAACTGCTCCCAGGCAGCGAGCCCTTCCTTTAAAAAGTGACTCACAGAAAAGGCAGTTTCGCCTTAGTTAGAAAGGTTGTCCCAGACCCTTACAGCCGAAGGACTAGCATTTGTTTCTCTACACTCACAGCTTGTACAGATCGCATCTCACCCATCGGGGAAAAGAGAACATTCTGTTCAATTTCACTGAGGCTTTTTGTTGTTCTTCTTCTTCTGATGTAAGGCAAACTTCCAGGGTTTGGGTTTTTAATGGTTTTATATGATTGCCTTTTCATGAGACACACAGTTATATTTTTAAAGCAAACCCAAAGTAAGAAAAAAATTATATACTTTCATCATATGAATGGAAAGTATTACATAGTTTTTTCTTTTCTTGGAATATTTTCATTTGATGACACAAACGGCATGATGATGATAATAATGTTTTCGATTTATTTGTTGCTTGACTAATATATTCTTTTCAATTTTCACAAAAACTGTACTTTCTTTTTAAAAAGAGTTTTGGAAACTGAGATGAAGAGACTTTGGACAACTTGCCCAAGACAGTGAGCTACTTAGTGGTAACCCTTGATGAGTGGGTTTTAAAATCCTACTTTTACCACATAAAAGTCATCATAGAGTTCTGCTAGTCCAACATTCTTTGTGATGCTTCGGAATCCAGATCGATGGTTATTTATGTGATGGGATCTTACCCACTTTTGTTATGTAGCTCCTTCTCATTCTTCTTTTGAAAAGCTTTAACAGTTAAAAATTCTTTTTTTATAATTGCGCCAAATACCTTATTTTTTAAAACATTTCCAACCAGTTCTAGATTTCCTTCTAGATTCACAGAGAACAAATCTGAATCTCCATGTATTAGGTTGGTGCAAAACTAATCACAGTTTTTGGCATTGAAAGTAATAGCAAAAACTGCAATTTCTTTTGCACCAAGCTAAAAGTAGTCACTGTCTTCAGATATTTTAAAACAGCTATAATGTCTTCTGGAAACTTCTCTTCTTCAGGCTGATTCCAAATGTTGAAGATATGTGGCACTGTATTAGTCTGCGTGGGCTATGTCGGAGGAAAAAAAAATCCTTTTTCTCTACTTCCACACATCACTCGATATAACACTTTTGACACTACATTCTCCAGCACACATCATCTGGGTGTCTTATTCAATTCAGTTCTGACACCATCAACCTGTAGATAGCATCAGATATCATAGGTTAAGGGCTTAGTTTCACAAGACTGCCCCCCACTTTAAATGCTACTTGTGAATAGTATACCTCTGATTGACTGTCTGGCTATAAATTGGGGTTTTCCATGAACTCTTCCTTAGATTTGTTTAATTTGCTATAGAGGCTCACAGAACTCAGGGAAACACTTATGTTGACCCACTTATTACAAAGGATATTACAAAGGATACAGGGGAGCAGCCAGATAGAAGAGATGTATAGGGCGAGGTATGTAGGAAGGGGTTTGGAGCTTCCATGCGCCTGGGTGCACTACCCTCCAGGAACCGCTGTGTGTGCAGTGCTCTGGAAGCCGTCAGAACCCAGTCTTGGGTTCTTGTAGAGGCCTTATTACATAAGCATGATTGATTAAACCATTGGCCATTGGTGATGAACTCAACCTTCAGCTCCTCTTTCCACCCCAGAGGTGTGTGTGTGATGGTAGTAGGGGAGCTGAAAGTTTCAACCCTCTAATTACAATGTTCCCCTGGCAACCAGCCCCCATCCTGAGGCCATCCAGGAGCCCCCAGCCACCAGTGATCTCATTAGCATTCTCAAAGACACTTATTGCTTTAGATTCCAAGGGTTTGGGGAAAGGTGAACCAGGAAACAGGAAGACCAAATATCAAAATATGGTAGCCTGTGATGTTTCAAAATGTCACGGGCTACCATAACAAAGTGCCACAGGCTGGGGGACCTAAACAACAGTTTATTTCCTCACAATTCTGGAGGCTGGAAGTCTGAGATTGAGGATGGTAGGGTTGTTCTGTCCTGTGACCTCTCTCCTTGGCTTGCACATGGCCACCTTTTCTCTGTGTCTTCACACAACCTTTCCTCTGTACAGACATACTCCTGGTATCTCTTCCTCTTCCTTTAAGGACACCAGTTCTGTTGGATCAGGGCTCCATTCTTACAACCTCATTTAACTTTTTTTTGTGGGGGACAGAGTCTCGCTCTATTGCCCAGGCTGGAGTGCAGTGGCACAATCTCAGCTCACCGCAACCTCCACCTCTCCCGGGTTCAAGTGATTCTCATGCCTCAGCCTCCCAAGTAGCTGGGACTGCAGGTGTACGCCACCACGCCGAGCTATTTTTGTATTTTTTGTAGGGATGGGATTTTGCCATGCTGGCCAGGCTGGTCTCAAACTCCTGACCTCAAGTGATCCACCCGCCTTGGCCTCCCAAAGTGCTGGGATTACAGGCATGAGCCACTGTGCCTGACCCCTCATTCAACTTTAATTACCTCCTTTAATGCCCTTTAATCTTCAAATACAGTCACATTGAGAGTTAAGCCTTCAACATACCAGTTTTGAGGGGACATAATTCAGTCCATTCCAGATATCAGTGAAGTCAAGGCATCCATTTCCTCAGTATGCTTTACTACATGTACAGCAAGCCAGGACTGTTCACAGTTGAAAGAGGTTTCTGGAGGTGTGTGAACCATCTGAACTTCATCCTCTTTCTTCAAGTAGTCTTCAGGACTTGTGCCCACTCAGTGAATCCTGTGGAAACTGCCAACAGATGGCCATCTGGTCAAGATGTTCAAAGGCTCAACCTAAACAACTTTGAAAATTATCAAAACTAAGGCAAAGGATATGACTCTACTAAAGAAGGAGACTTCTTAAGGAGCAAGAATCTCTAGGAACTGACTGTTCAGCAGCACTGAATGTAAAATTGGAATAACCACCCTCTCAAATCTCAAAGAAACTGGACTTAGGGCTTTTTTTTTTTTGTTATTAGAATGTGTTTGGGGAAGTGGACAGGGTGATTATATTAACTGGCCCTTCCATTCCCAATCTGTGTACCAAGAGCGAGTGAGACAGTGATGAATTACCCAGGATGAGGTTAGAATAATTTAATAAAAAGAGGTGGAAATGGGGTCTTTAATTCCTAACCTTTTGAGCTGTGGCTAAAATCCATTAATAGAACATGGATTAAGAGTCCAAAGTAAGATTACTCAGCATCACCCGCCAGTGAATCACTCTGGTACTTGGGTCAGAATTCATATCTGAGAATTCTTTGAAACTTTATGGCTGGAATGTTTCTTTCCCCCTGGCTTGGCTTCTTTTGTAGTCTTAGCCTCTTTAGCAGAGGAGATAGGAAATCTTTGGCATCCTTTCAAAAACTCATTCAAACCACAGGGTAGAACTTTAAAGGAGGCCTTTGGGGATATGTGGGGTCAGTTGGAATAGTTTATATCATAGCTTTCAGTTTAAAGAATTTTTTTACAGCATCAGTAGGGAGAATTATATCACAATACATAAATAGATTTAGCAGGATTTACAAATCCACATGTGTTCCCTTAAGCAGTAGTTTTCAAATATTTGATGACCTTAGAACTCCTAGTTCAAATGAAATTTTACACTGAAGTGAAAATGAACAACACTGATAAAAGGGGAGTTTCTCTGCTAAAATACGGATGTGAGGTCCCAGAGATCCCTTCTGCCTTTCCCTTTTGCTCTTTTGGGTAGCCCCTAAGGGGAACGAATGCCAAGATCTTCCAGGAAGATAGATCGAATGCTTTTTCTCTAGGAGACTCTTGTTCTACAGTGAAGTTCCCTCAATGAACCACAGAAATGTGTGAGCAAAAGTTGATCATTAAGTAGTAAGTCACACCTCTCCTTAAGTTTTGAAAAATATTTTGAAAATGGTATCTGGTCTTCCAACATAAATGCGGAGATGAAAGAAAACAGACTTTTCTTTCTCCACAGCAGGAGCACTTAAAAGTCTTTGACTATTTAAACTACTGGAAAAAGGTACATTTTATCAATTGAGCACGCATTTTTAATCCATCAAATCATGCAATGTTGAAGATGGAAGGAACCCTAGAAATTGAAATCAAATGAGGCAATTACACAAAGTACTTTGGAACCTGTGAAACATTTTGCAAGAGTATAATTTGATGATGATATTTAACCCCTTCCACTAACTAGAGCTTTACTGTGCCTTTAATGTTTAACCCTGAACCCTTTGGCAAGAACTCAGAAAGGGGAAAACCACCCTGCCCAGTGTCAAGCTGCTGGTCAGTGACACAGATAACCCTAGAACATTATAGATTGTTGCTTGAAGACATTGTGATCAGTCATAAAAGCCTAGGAATCAGAGGTCAATCAGAAATTAGAAAGAAATCGTTTACTTTCTCTTGCACAAAAATATGTTTTATTTATACCTACGGTGGATCCCAAGGGACTACTTTCTGTTGGAACACAAAAGACAAGTCTATCAGTCTTGATCTGCAAATCTAAAACATGTTTTAGAGAGGGGATTTAGGCTTATTTACTAACTAAGCCCAAACTGGGGTGCACAGGAACACCCTCTCTTCGTAGCTCTACAGTGATACATTTGGAGCAAATGGGTGGAATCTCATCTTACATGGTTGGTGGTGAGCTTCTAAAATGAGTAAAGAAGTTGAAGGTCATACAAAATCACAATTTTTTCTGAGGACCGTTCAGACTCTTAGAAGCTCAATGACAAATCGTATGTTAATATTATTGTCTATGGAAATTTCACTGACATGTTCCTTTTCCTGTGACACTGGAAACTAAAGTCTCTTTTGAATTAAGGAAGGCAGCATAAATAAGGTGTGTTTTGTCTTCTTTGTGCTTGACTGGTTGAATATGAATCATGTGCTCTGGTTCCTAAACAAGTTGCCTGTTTGACTTACAAATTGACTCATGGTGATAGAACTGATTTGAGGCTCAAGTTAATTTGAAATGAGGATCTAATAACAAACATGCAGTGATGTTTAAAGAAAAAGATGTTCTTTGCCAACGTCTCTAACCTGTGAAGTGAAATTATGGAGAATGACCACTAACTCCCTGAGCTGACCATTAGTACCCTCATCCATGCTAGAATTGAGAAAAACACTGGGAGCTAGTACGGTTGACTGTCTCCATAGATATGCCAACTATTCCTCCCACCCATATATTTGTGCATTCCATTTACCCCATCCAGATATGGAATCATGGAATCTAATTATGTCCACGCGCCTTGGATTTGAACTGGCCTTGGGATTTGCATCAGCTACTAGAATATGGCAGCAGCAATGTTGTGCCAACTCCAGGCTTAGCCACTTAGAGGCCTGATGGCTTCTGCTGTGGCTCACTTGGAGCCCTGAGCCACCAAATAAGAAATTCAACAACCCTGCTGAAGAGAGGCTCAGCCAGCCCCCAGATCTTCAGCCACCACAGCTGAGGACCCAGATATGTGAGTGAGGCCGCCTTGATATCATTCTAGCCCCAGCTGACCTCTCTGTCAACTAAAGCTAAATGAGTGACTCTAGCTGATATCACATGGAGCAGATGAATCACTTAGCTGAGCACTTTCTAAATTTCAGAATTATGAGCAAATAAATGTTTTGTATTGTTGCAAGCATTAAGTTTGAGGGTGTTTTGTTAAATAGCAGTACATGACAGTTAGTTGGCCAAGAGATTTCTGATAGATTTTGTCTTATAGACTCTTCCCTGACCCTCTTCCTTCTCCAGATAGGCTCTTCTGCTTTGGTGTCCCCTAATTTTACCCCAAATCTTGATGGAAAAAAAAGCAAAACCAAAACACCTGGGACTTCCCTACTGGTAGACCCTGCACGGTCTTCCCTTCCTTCCAAGCAGATGATGTGGTTGCGGGGATCTGGCCTGAGTCTCTGAATGTTCTCACCTTGCAGGAGTGGTCAGAAATGTCGATCAGGGTATCATACATTTCAAATTCCATGTTATGCTGGCATTTGGTTTTCAATTCCCATTACAGAAGAAGATATGGACAGGTGGCCACAATTACTTTCTAAAGAATTCAATACTCCAGGGAGAAGGGGTTAGTGATAAGCATCAGAAGTGAAAAATTAGACAATTGTTGGGTAACCAGGGTAAGCAGAAGGAATTTCTAAGAATTTCTAAGTGCTACTGTGAAAATAGCAACAGACAACCTCAAAGACTTGCAAAATGGTCAGACCACTTCTGTGGCTAATCAGGATGGCTTGGAGTCAGTCAGTAATTGAGCCATTTCAGTCAATTCTAAAATAAATTGGTCTGCAAAAAAAGTAGAATAACCATCTATAAACACAAAGGGTTTATCCCAGTATCCAATATCATGGTAAATTTATTCCATAAAATGCAGTTGCTGGATGTTTAACCATTAAGTAGTAAGACACATCATTTCTGTTGTATTGAAAAACACTATACAGATGATACGTCATTTAAAATACACAAATGTAGTCCTGACAGACCAAATAGATGTTTCTTAATACAAACATCCTTTGAAACCCTGGCACGGTAAAGCAATCGCTACAGAATGTTTATTGTATTAGTTGAACAACTCCGTTAAATCCAATAATGTTGTCACCTAAGAAAACACCAAAGCTGAGTTTTTAACCTTACAGAAATATTGATGGCATAAAGTGGAGGCTGATGAAATAAAGATTTCTTATTACTTTTACTACCTTGGAATAACCTTCTACCTGTGAACTGTAAGAAAATGCTTTGCCAGTGCCACCACCTGCCCTCCAGGGCAGCTCTACCCTCAGTTGACAGGTGTTCGTAGAAATTTTATAGGAGTTTTCAGTGAGGCATCAGTTGTCTTTAATACTTGAAAGAAAATTGAATGGAAGGATTCAATTACTCATGTGAAAAATGAGTCTTCTACCCAAGGTTTGGCCACTGCTGGTATGCTTGTTTTAAAACTGAATTATAGGCGCAATACATTTCCCAGAGACACAGGCATTAATTTTTCTCAAACCATTCAAGATTGGGAGGACAGAATAGGAGGGAGCAGAGAGAAAATAAGATAATAAGAGCTTCACATTGATTTATTCACCTTTGTGCAAAGTAATGGGGACAAGAGGGAGGCGGCCCCTGGAGCCTGGAAGAGAGATGGAGGAGCTGAGAAAGGAAGGATTGCAGGGCAGCCTGCCAAATAGAAAGTCAAATTGTTGTTCTTAGATGATATAAGATTGCTTTATTTCTCTAGCTGCTTTATAAAAATACATATGCATAAAATATGCCACATGATGCAGCTGGAGTGAACGAAGGCCACTCTATTTATCCAGGAAAGGATTGTATTCCTAACTTGCCTGTCTGTTAGCTCATTCTTTTAATAAAGGTAAACTGATCCTCTACCTAGCAGAGCTCAGGCTATGATTCCAATGTGTTTGATGCTAGGAGTGCATGAGAGATTGGCTCATAACCTGCCCTGGGCAGATGGATGGATGGATGCTCTGAAGCACAAAGTTGACACTATACAGAAGTCTGTGTACGTGAGCTATCATAGTTGCGGAGGATGTTCTGTCCTTCGCAGACCTGATGTCAGGTCACTTAGCATAGATGGGAGAAGTATTGGACAAGGAGTCTGTGCAATCCTCCCTCAGCTACTAAGTAGCTCCATGCAGGACTAGGCTCATAATTTCCAGGACCCAGTGCAGTAAGAAAATGTAGGGATCCTTGTTAAAAAGAAAAATGAGAATTTTAAGACAGCAGTGTCAGAGCATTAAACCAAAGGCAGAACCCTTCTAAATATGGTGATCTTTTGAGTGCAAGACTCTGTGGGACTGCATGGGTTACATGTCCAGAAAGCCCAACCTGGCTCCATGATTTTGTGACATGAAGCTTCTCATTTGGGACTGTCAGTTTCCTTGTATTAAGAGAAGCCAATTGGAAGCAATCAGCAGCTTTCACCCTAGGAGTGTTAAACGTGGGCGTGGTCAGTTAGCAACATTATTGGTGAAGTTGGATCTTCTCTGTATTATGGAATTTGAATCTTAATTCCAAGAAAACCTTCTTTTTTTTGGAACCACGTGACAGCGCAGAGGGAAATACCTACTCTCTTGGGTACCCAGGAGATGGGGAGCAGAAAGCTTGTGTCCATTGTCTCATGGAGCAAAAGAAAACTTATATTAACAAAGAGTATATTTTCTCATGTCTATAAAAGAAAATCAAGTCCATTCCATAAATTAGCCCTTGCCTTTCTTCTAAAACAACTTAAATCTTTTTTTTTTTTTTTTTGGTCTCCAAACAGAAAATTTAAAAAATAGCATAAGCTCATTTATCTTGGAACTGACATTACAGGCAAAGTTGACAGGTTTATCTGTTTGAAAAGAGACCTTGAAACCTCAATGCCTTCTTTAATGCTTGGGCGCTGAAGTTGAACTTCTGGGAGATGACAAATGAGAATGGGATGAAGCATAACTTTTCTTATTTTAACCATAAAAGTATCACTAAACCCAAGCATATAACTTGACTTACAAGTTCTGAGAAATAGAACTCTGTGCCCAGCAGCTGCAAAATTAGTAACTGTGGTTCTCTAGGTCATTTTGGGAAGGTTCTGGAGTCACCAGAACCTTGCTGATATTTCAGTTTCTCATCTTAATGGAAGAATCTACTATAATTCTGTGGATTTGCTATTTTTTCCCTGTTCACGCCCCAGAGGGTAGCCCTTGGGTCAGTAAAACTCTAGAAACAATTCTTCAGCATTGGAAAAGCCATTTGATACCAACTTGCCATTTTGCACTGAACAGGTGTGTTTCTGACTTATAAATATTTTTGCTTTTTTAAACAAGATTTTTCGTTTTTTTAAGAGGGAGAAAGC